AGTTAGCTGCACTGAGTCACTGTTGGAGTATATGTACTTTATGAACTGGCCACAGTACGTAAGGGTGAAGAGAAACTCACCAAATCCTTGCTGACTTTGATTGGCTCTTTGAACACAGTCCAAACCACGGCCTCATTGCAAGCAGGGGTGGTCAAGGAGCCAAGGTAACGATAGTATATTGAGCGGTTCACGCCAACAAGGAGGTCATCCAGTGAAATTCCAGAAGGAATTGTAAAAGTTTGACCTGAGGACAGAAACAAGCTCAGTGGAGGAGAGAAGTGTGTCATGGCATTTGCATATTTAACAGAGTACAGTAATTAAAGTCACAAAAAACATTTGAAAATTATGGAGTCCAACAGTTGCATGAATTTAAAGGTTCACCATGTAAGACATCTAGTGGTGAAGTTACATATGCAGGTGAACACCCCTCACCTCACCCTCCCCTTCCAAACATGATAGAGAACCTGTGGTGAACTTCAGTTGTCATAAAAACTCAAAAGGTGTTTAGTTTGTCCAGTCTGGGCTACTGTAAAAAACATGGCGGCCTCCATAGAGAGAACCCGCTCCTGATGTAAATACAAGTATACAACAACAAATAAAGTAAACAACACTTTGTACAATAGTACACATTAGTGAAAACATCACTATGATTCTTTTGTATTCAGTTTCTGCCAATAGATCCCTTTCACCTAAATCTTACACTCTGAACCTTGACACAAAACAAAAAGCTTTTGAGGTTTGTACCACATAAAGGTGCAAACCTGTTTGGTCAAATACAAACACACTCACACAAACAAACAATCCTTCCTGAGTCAGTGCCAGCAAGCTATGCAAACAGATTCTTGCCAAAACAAGGCCTTGGAGTGTATTAGAAGTAGTTACGCTCCCCTTAATGTTCAGTTATTTGAAAATGTCCCATATGTTGAAGAAAAAATATGTTTCTTTGAGTTTTACCGATACATGATGTTGGCCTATCAGCATGTCCCTCCACCAAAGAAGATTGGGTTTCCCAGCAAGAAAGGAAATGAGAGATGAAGTCATTTTTCCTCAGCTAGCCGCAACTCCCCTCTGGTTCCCCAAACAGATCCAAGGATTTAGTTTCAATTCAACATGTAGACCTGAACAGTGTGAATGAAAGACTGATCTCAGGATGGAAGATAACTTTGCTTTTAAAACATGAGCCCTATGTATTACTTTGAGCTGAGTTATGCGGTGCTGAGGACCTATTGAAGTTGAGTTAACCAGAGTGTAGGATTCTATGCATCTTCTCTTTGCTCGTCTCTCTTGATCTCTTAATAAACACTCACTATCCACCCATCAAGCTCGGAGAGAACTGACTGAGTTTGAATTGTTGTTCATTTATCAGGGTTTGGTTTTGAGTCAGTCTCTCTGATTTGGTGGATCAGATCTATATGCACTTTATAGGATTTTGGAATTTTTGCACGGCACATGATATGGTCTACGTAAACTTTCACAAGATGTATTGAGTAGTGGGTTAATTGAACTGGCAGTGCATGCTACTTTGCATGAGGTCAAGGAGGGACATGGTCAAAATAATAAGATAATCAACAAATGCATCTCACCTCAATGAGGAAGCCAAGAGCAGCAAGGCCTGTGGGGTCTCCCTCAGCCTTGGTTGTGTTGCCATTGTAGACGTCCTTGAGGTTTAAAATGTGCAACTGTGGGTGTAAGGAGAAAAGAAACACAATCTCAATTTATTGTTGTAACTTCAATTTGTAACTTCATATGAAAAACACAATTTACCTCTACAGGGAAGCACTTGCCATTCACTGTGTGATCAGACCAGGGGACAGAGGATCCATTTCCCCAGTGCAAATGGAACTGCAGGCTGTCATAGGTGCTAAGCAGACCTCCTCCGGAAATCTTAACATCTTTTTCAAGGATAACCTTGACTGGAGCAAGATTATCACATGATACAACTACACAAACCTGAACACCTCCCTCCTGAATAACCCTAATGCAACCCTCTTTAACCAGCATTTAAGCAGGTGCCAGTCCTCACCCATTCCTCACCTGTCCGTAATCGGTGTTACTGTTGAAGTTGGTAAAGGGGAAATTCTTCAGTTTCACATCCAATGTGGCACTGAATGTTCCAATGTGGATGTTAATGGGCGATTGTATGGAGTCATTACAAAATGTAGGCACGATAGATGCCCAGGTGGTGTCATCTGTAAAACACAAACAACTTTGAGTAGCAGTAGAGGAGCAGCTGAGATGTTGAAACTGGTAGAGATTACAGGACATCACTCACTGCAGGTTTGTAGATGATAACACCATTCTGGAGGCAGAAGAGAACGTATAAGTATCACTTCATGATGACAAGTAGTCTCCATGGAGACGCAGCGCTAATACACAAAGTCATAAATCCAAGGTGATGGGAAAAAAAACATTTCAAATACCTACCGACACAATCAACCCTTGATATGAGGGTGCACACAGTGAGCACAACTGCTCTGAGGAAGATCACCTAAAGAAACAGTCACAAAGTCACTCACCTATTTATTAATTTGTCATGTATGGACAAATTCTAGACACATCTTTTTAAATAACTACATGAATCATTAGTGATGATGCTCGATTTCACTATGGTACAGAGAAGGACCACAGAGTTCTGCTGAAAGGTCTGTTTCAGATTGTTGGTTCAGATCTTTGAGCAGAGGACTTGAGCAGCAGTGGGTCTTACCTTTGACGCACCTGCACTGTCCTCATAAGAGTTATGAAATGAATGATGTATGGTGTCCAAACATGGCAGAGTGGCTGCTGAAACATGATTAACTGAACAACTAAAGTCTTGAGAAGACTCAGTTTGTAAAACAGGGACAGAAAGTGATAATGAGAATCCACCTTTGTTCCAGCTTTGCCAGAAAGAAATTCTTTGAGGTCATGAGCCAAGAAGTTGCGTAATTAATCCTTTTAATTAACAAGGCGTTGTTCTTTGACTGATGGTGACAGTAATATTTTGACACCATCATCTTCACGAGTAGCCAGGCTAAGAGCAGCAACACCTACTTCTGCTCAGTTTTCATGACACAACTTTATGAGAAATCAGCTTGAATGAGTATCACTAATTGTTTTTGTCAATTGGAGCCTTTTGGGTTGAATAGGAGAGATTCATTTTTAAAAGTTGTAGTTCTGAGGACATTATTGATTGTATATTTTCACAATTTAATTGTAGTTTAATCAGAGTATACTGCCGTGTGCCACATGTCAATAATTTTCGTAAAACACATCTGGGTGTGTAATGACAATTGTCACCAAACCAGCCAGTTAAGCAAATATTGACACAACATGTTATTTGAGTCAAGAAGGCACAAAAATATCAGTTCTAATCAGACATTATTCAACTAGTGAGCAGGTTCTTTAAAGCTTTTGAATTTGATTACTTGGCTAACATCTACAGGGATGGAGATTGATTGCAGTAGCAGGTTTTGTTTTTTTGCATGCTGCAACTCTGCACATCACGTGTTGGTGGTGATGGAGATTACTGTCAGATCAGATTCCATTTTCTTAAAACACACACATAAAGACTTCCGCAGACAGCTTATCTTGAATCCCTTTAACTTCACCCACTGGCATTTTGAGTTATTACATGATGTGATTAATAAATCGATGAATGAAACATCATGCCAATTAGGTGTGGCAATAAAAATTGTAATTAGAAGAAAAAAAAAATTTGTGACATAAACCCCATCAAAATGTCAGTCTAAAATTCCCACTTTATTATCAAAGTGTCAGATGGTTTTTTTCCCACTTTAAGTAAGAAATTCATGTAGTGTTTGGTGTTATACTCTGTATTAATACAGCATAATACTCATCAGTTAATATGGTGGATCTTTTAGTTTTGGTAATGAAACAGTCGGAAGGTGGTTTCAATACAGTTATTTATTTAAGTTTCACAGTTATTAATTTCCTTCTGATAAATACACCCAGACACTGGTTAGTATGATAGACATCAGTCTGTGATTCACTCAATTCCATTTTTTTTAATCCATACAGCATATTATGTATTTGTGGTTAGCAATCTCAAAATTTTACAATTATTCACAGCCATGGTTGAAGGTAAAGAGCCTGATAACACTTCGAAGTTTAATAAACCATATAAGATTTTTTTTTAATTAACCTTCTGTAGTCAACATCTTGATTATGAGATCACAGCTTATTATACTGCATATACGAAAGTGTCAAAATAAACTACAGAAAACACCACATCGTCCTTTACTTACAACTACGGATATAACCTTCAGAGTACAAACAGATAATCAATAAGATATGATTATCCTTCACAGCAATTTAAGGTAGGTAGCTCTTTTTAAATATGCAAATTGGATACAATGGTAAAAAGACATGCCGGCAGCAGAAACTGCATGATGGGTGCAAGGCAGCTGGCTGCGGCTGAGGTGTAGACTGTCCTGTCCTGAAGAGCCTGCGGAGCCCGATACACGTTGTTGTATTTCATCTGAGTTGGGAACAGCATCATCTGGTTGGGTTAAACCAAAAGTCAGCCTTCAGTTGGTAACAAATACACATGCTCCGCTCATCCACCCAAAGTAATTCTTTTTTTCTCCCCAATCTAGAGACCTGCATGAACATTTCAAAGAGCTGAAGACTGAGCAATCCTGCGATACACGTCCTAAAATCAGTACAATAGTAAAATGTCAGTAATAGTAAAAAGGCTTTTTCACACTGCAGAATAACCAAACCATGTCTCAGTTTGATCCACACCAGGATCAATTTGGCAAAGGATGAAGGCAAGGTTGTGTATTATTAGATGGTTGTTGGGGTTGATGGATAGGTTTGTAAAATATTAACACAGGAAACCACAATTTGTTTCCTGTGAGAAACCTGTTTATTCCAGCCTAGATGGTACATTTGATTATTAGAGCTGTCATCAAGGTTGCGACATGCCTGTAACTGCAGCGGATTTCCAGCATTCATTTGACACTTGAAAGTTTGAAGGAACTTAAATGAACTCTTGTTTGAGAAGGCACTCAGTCTTTGGCTGACCACAATTTTAGTTGATGCGGGTGAAACCAAGTGGAAATGGCAGCTTGGAGCCGTTGAGCCGGCCAGACTTGTAATTCAGTGGCTAAGGGTGGGGCTGCACCAAGCAAGAAAAAATTACCAGATATCTTAGAAGGTACATGACGTTCTGATAAGTCATATAGTTTCAGCTTTCAACTCCTGCCAAGTGACGTTGATATAAAACACTAACAGTTTTAAGGGCCATCACAAGGTGACCACTGCCGGTCTCGTAACTTGTTGTACGTCTTGTTAACCTCCCATGTCAAACATTGAAGACTTTATTACCGGTACAGTTGAATGTTTGACTCATCTGACCAGACTAAAAGCAAAAAAGTCAAGCAAGTCTATGATGGTTATAAATATGAATTTTAAAGTGAGTTTGATTATATTCCAACTAATCCAGAAATTTAAAAAAAGTTTTCCCTGTATAGTTGAAAACTAGTAGCTCGCTCTTCTGGTCATTAAAGGAATAGTTCAAAATGCCTGCTCCTGCGGGACACTTGGATGACCACACAGGAGCAGAATGGAGGCATTTTTTTTTTTTTTTTACATTTGACGAATCGGTCACCATTTACTTCAATTGTATTGATTTGGCTGCAATGCTGTTTACCCCTGAAACCCCAAACACTCCACCCACCCCTCCATCGGCATAGTGGTGAGTAGATGAGTGAATTTTCATTTTTGGGTGAACGATCCCTTTAGGCCCAATGTTTATTTACAAAACTACTTATCATTGACATGTAGACACGTTGCTTCATTGATATGAACATGGGCATTGTACTTTTGTAATTAGGGAATCGCGCTCACACACACACACACACACACACCATTTTGCTGCCCTAAACACTGGCTTGAGCAGTCAATGTGTAATATTAAGGCATTTAAAGTAGTTCCCTGAAAAACCATATTTTTCTCTTGGGTAAAACTACAGCGCTCAGAAATTTAAAATAAAAGAATGATGAGCTGTTTAATAATTTAAATCCTCAGTGGAGTCCACTGTGTTAGCACCAGAGAGAAACCACACAATTGTTTGCATTTGGTCTTTTAAATTGGATTAAAGAAGAAAATTCCGGACTCTACGTCGCACCCGTTCTGATTACTTTGTGCTCTCTGAGATCTGGGTATGAACTCCTTGAAGATCATATGCATATACCATGTTGGTGTAAATTCCTAAAATTACATTGGAGCTACGAGTCAACAATTTAATCTCAGCCATTTATTTCAAATCTTTGATATGCATGAGAAACAAACAATGATGTCAGAGAAAATCTGACAATGCATTTCTGTATAATCTACTGAAAAATCACTGGAGACTTGATTGTGCTGTGATACAGTGGAACAAACAGCTTCTGGAAATGAAATGTAATGACCTCACCACGTGATGATGCAAGAAAACTGTTATTTAAATCTCATTATGCTACCAATATCATTAAAGCTGTTCAGGAAAATACTCTTACAAATATAAATCCCTTTTTTGTTTTTGTTTGAAAACAGATGAGTCCACTCACCAGTTTTTGGTCGACTTTGATAGACTCTTTAAAGACGGTCCAAACCACAGCTTCGTTACAACCAGGGGTGGTTAAGGAGCCATTGTAGCGGTAGTACACACTTTTGCTCACACTGCTGAGCAGGTCATCAATAGAGATCTCCTCCGTGAAGTTAACTTTTGAGTCTGTATTGAAGCAAAAAATGCACAAAATGTAGTGGTACATTTATGTCTGCACATTCAGTGTTATATGCATTGAAACAAAGGGGCACGCACCGATGTCTTCAATAGCTGAGAGATAGTTTGTCAATTTCTTCCAGGCTCCAGTATCAGCTGCTGGACTCGGTGTGGGATTTGTCTGCAGAGACCAAAGACTCTAAGTAAAGATGGACGACCCATCTCTACTACCTTCCACTTTCCAAAAATGAAGCCAGTAGCAAACAGGGGATGGCACCACGGTGGCGACCAATTAAAAGTCAGTCTGAGCTGTCAATCATCACATTTTAGCTAATTTTTATAGCATAAACTAATAAAAACCAAATTTACTGGAGAATTAGCAGTTGTATGATAAGAACTACTTAAAATGACATCTTTGAGAAAAAATTATTTGATGTGCACTTTGACTTTTTAGTTTGGTCCTTGTGTCATGGTGAACAATGTCCGGTATCAACATTTAAGGCCCTGGTTTAACAAAGCTATGCCACTTACCTGTCCTGAGCCGCTGCTGCTTTTGGTCGATTCAGCCTGGAAAATATGTGAGAAAAGTCTCATACAAAAGATTCACTGGTAATGTCAAAGTAAGACAGGGAAGAAAAGAAAGCAGGATTCACTTTGTTCAGTAAGACTCCCTTTAAGTTTTTTTAAAGTGAGATATTTAAGATGGACACTAGTTGTTTGGTGCATGTTCTGGTTGTCATGTTTTTTGTGTGGAGACAGGTCACATTAAAAATCTACTTAGAATCAGCAGATACTGTACATCATGGATTTGCATCTTACTATTAACAAACTCAACATTACCTCAATAAAGAAACCCAGAACTGCCAGGCCATTCGAAGTCTGTACAGCCTCGTCCAAAGTTAAATCCTTCCTCTTGTTCACTATATGCATCTGGACAAAGACACAAAAGCAAACCTCATTACAAACCACTGCATTTAATGCAACAGAATTATTCAGAGTTTTGCAATTACCTCCATTGAATATCGTTTTGAATCCACCATGTGCTCCGAGCCCTTGGAGACAGTGGAACCCCAATGGAAATGGAACTGAAGGGTGGAGTAGACATGTCCCAAACCGCCTCCCGATATCTCCACTGTGTTTTCTTTCAGCACACACTTAACTGGGAGTTGAGTAAGCACAGGAGTAAATTACCCTAACACATTTAAATAGGGTCCTCGCTCAGGCCCTAATTATAGAAATCTAAGTTTCTCCTAAATCAGCAAATTCTCATTTTTAGGTGTCATTGTCATAAGGCTAATAAAAATACAGCTAACTTGAGTTTCAGTTGTGAGATGTGTTGGATTTCAAAAACACAACAGCCTGTAATGTAAAAGGAAAACTGTCAAACCTGCGTGGCCGGTGTTGGTGATGTACTTGATGGTGTGTTTGTCGTCAAACTTTGTAAAGGTGAAGGCGTTAAGTTGTTTGTCCAGCACAGCCTTCTTTGACTCAATGTTGATGGGTGACTGATTTTCACCGCCACAGTGTGACGGAGACAGAAGGTGCCAGCGAGACTGATTGTAAACTGATGGGAGAAGAAAACCAAAGTTTAAAACAAGCCAGAGTCCTCTGCCATCCAATATGTCTGAGCAGTAACTTTATAAATTTGGTGATACATACTGCAGTGATTATCATAGCACCATGGACCGCCTGTAAAGAATGGAACTGGATATTTAATGCGCCAACACAGAGTCAGAAATATCATGAGTCACATGCATGTGATTTTTCAACTCACTGGGAGGGAGAGAAACTTCAGGAGACGCAAACACTTGACGTCCATTAAGTTCTTGTACAGGCCGATAAACATTGGTGAGTCCCGTAATCGAGGCAAACCGCTCAATCTTAGAATATAAAAAGACAAACATTTCCTCCGATGGATCCAACAATGTAGGGCTGTCACTTTTTACACACTTCAGTAATTGATTTGAACGTGGTAAATGTATTATTTCAATTGCATGCCCCGTAGGGCCATCAGTATTGCTATGTTGCAATGAAAATGGAGGACGCTAGCAGGCAAAGCTGTCCTGAGCAGACAAGCATGACACCAGAGAACCTGAGAAGCAGTGTGTTAAAGTCTTTTGGATTCTGCGGCGTAGACCGCAAAGGTGTAGCCGTTAGCGGAAGCTGAGCAACACCAAGTGTCCAACCTTCTCATAGATACAATCAAACACAAAGTGTGTGGTGTGAAATTTGTTTCCATTCAACACAATGAAGATAAGCTGAAATAAAATATTTTGTAGTTGCTAATGAGTAGCAGCATCAACTGGTTATTAGTCGACAGGCTCCTGGTGTGGACTTTATATTGTGATCATTTTTACTGAATTTATCCCAATTCCAAACATTTGATTTATTGCATCATGCAGACGTGCATCATAGGTTAAGCTCACTTTGACATCTGATTGTGTTGTGCTGTTGGTATACTATGACTGGTATACTATGCTAAGACAAAATGTAAATGCACCTTTTCAGTTATGGAACACAGCCAAGAACAATTCACATGCAGAGAAATGTGAAACGTTTTCTTATCAACTGTTTGCTGTCACACAGATAAGAAATCATTCTTGGATCATCACATGCAGCTAACCAAGGGCATTGTGTTGCAACGACAGAATGGTTATGAAACAATTATCCAACCATGCAGAGAACAGGCTGTACAAGTATATTGGCATTTGTCTACATGCAGGCAAGGGTCACCAGATGACAGTGTGCACGTGATTCCTCTTGACATAGGTCAAGATATTAAAGAAGCAACAATTAAGACATTTTAGCCGTCACTAAGGTAGCCAGAGGACAGAAACAGGGAAACCTGCACCAAGACAGCTGGGAACAGACTCTGACACAGCTCCTGTTGACTGATCGTGCTTGAGTATTTGCTGTACACAATGCAGTAATTATTTATGACAGTTTGTCTCTAGGCGTCAGCAAAATCAATTGCAGTAACATAATGGGTACTTCAAACAAAGTCTTAGCTTTAGTATGAGTATACATGTAATAATTAACTAGTGAGTACCCGTGGGTCTGACTGTCAACATGTTGACTGGCATTGTGGCTGGGGTGCTGCCACTGCAGGACGGTCTTATCTACTGATAAGGAAACATGTACACCTACATCCTGAAGAGGGTTCTTGACTTGCATTTTAATTTGACTCCTGAGTGGTCATAAATGAATTTCCTTGACCATGCAAATCCACCATTATGTTCACAGCAATTTAGCTTTTGTGCTAAGCTGGTAGTGTTCAATGTATCTTGCCATGGACATGGTAAAGCAGTGCCTGAAGGCTTTGTCCTGGGGCACAGTCTCGTTGCACTTTTTGAAATACTACAAATACAAGCACTTTAAATGTCTCTTAAGGAATTTAACATTGCAGGAGCATGTGTTGTCTAAACTTAGCTTTTCCTCCTCTTTCTCTCCAGAATGAAGATTTTCAGGCTGCCCAACTGACCAGATTTTTGTTGATGTTGATTGGCTCTTGAAAGACAGTCCATACGACTGCTTCACTGCAGTTGGGCGTTGTCAGGGAGCCCATGTAGCGATAGTACTTTGTTCGGGAAACACTTCCAATCAGGTCATCAATAGAGAGGCTATGGTTTATGGCAATCTCAGTGTCTGTGGAAAAGGGGAAAAAAAAGCTGTTATCAACTAAATGTAGATATATGGATTTAAATGCACCAACATGGCAGAATCCTTGATTTGATGCCATGAACTTGATTACAAAAAAATTAAAAAGACTAATCCAACCAAACAATCATGATTTGACCCGCAAACCTGTACCATCTATACACCGGCCCCTGCATCACACACAAACCCTCATATCCCTTCATGCCCTTGTCCCCAAGTACCTGTCTCACACTTTAAAAACTACCATTCATGATTATGTAATTATACTATTTTATTTTTTCTTACTTATGTTGCTCATCAGGTAAGATGTGAGTATGCCCCATGGTCCTGTCATATTTCCATCTTCTGTTGCCTTTAAGGAGAACACATCATTATTGAATTTGCAACGTGGATATAATTGTGTTTTGACAGTTCATGCGTTCCTTGTTAATTTTGTTGTTGGCAAAACCAATTCTGACTGTTTGAGTGTGTTAGCATTCAGAAGCAGCCAATGGATGACCTTGAACAAAAAACAATTTACATGGGTGCATTCCCAGTTCAAATTAGCAAGCTGGGTTTCAGCAGAAAAGTAATGTCTTTGTTTGTTTTGTTTTACAACAGGTTTGCCCAACACTTTTCTTCGCAATAATAATTGTGTACACATACGTTAAGGAAAAACCCAAGAACAGCAATTCCTTCCGGATTTGCGACGGCCTGTTCCTTAGTGAGACCTTTCTTCAGACTAACGATATGCATCTGAAAGAGAGTATATAATTAGTGATGACGTAAGAGAAAATCACAACTTAACAGAAGAAAAACACAGCGAATTTCAAACTCGAGTGTACCTCCACTGGATATCTCAACTTGTCAATCGTGTGCTCCGAGCCTGGATGATGGGCAGTATCACCCCAGTGAAAATGAAACTGGAGCGTAGAATATGTTCCATTAAGTCCACCTCCACTCACTTCAACTTCATTATCCTTCAGCAAGCATACCACTGTGCATAAAAGAGATGTTTGGTGTGCTTCTGTGCAATTAAATGCTTAGATTCATTTCTAGATATCTGTCACAAATACTTGAGCTCTTGTTTTGCTGGTTGATAATTTGCTTTTAAGTGATGGACAACCAGCAGTGTTACATTCCTTAGCAGAAAAGCACTATACCCAGAATGTACTGCAGGGATCATGTATTGCATGCAACAATGAACCCTATTCAAAATAAAGGAAGTGAACACTTAAATCACACACCAGATCTTGATGAACAAATTATTCAAGTTGAAAATGTTTACTGATCAACATTCTATCAATTGTTGAGAACAAAAAAATAAATAAAAAAATAAAAACGCTTGGTGGAAACAATCAACCCATTTAGGGCTGGATTCAAAACCACAACAAATTGAAATCAGTGACTCAGTATTGTGCATGGCCCCTTCCTGCCTGTATGGACTCCTGACTATGTCTTGACATGCTCCTGATAAATCGGTGGATGGTGTCCTGGGGGATCTCCTCCCAGACCTGGATCAGGGCATCAGTGAGATCCTGGACCGTCTGTGATGGTAGTTGGCAGTGTCAGATTCACAGATACATAACGTGCCATATAGTTGCTCAATTTGATTCAGGTCCGGGGAACGTGAGGGCCAGTCATGAATGCCTTCATCATCCAGGACCTGCTGCTGGGTCAATGCCCTTCTGTGGCCCTGTCCAGCTCTCCTTGTGTAACAGCCGGTCTCCTGGTATTTCCTCCATGCTCTTGAGACTGTGCTGGGAGACATAGCAAACCTTCTAGCGACCGCACGTATGGATGTGGCATCCTGTAGGAGTTGGACAACCTGTGCAACCTGATTGAGCTGCGGGTACCCCCTCATGCTACAGGTAGTGGCAAGACAAAAGAACACAAAACTAGAGAAGAATCAGTCTGAAAGGATAAGGAGAGAGCAACTGTCTGTGGCAACCACATGTAAAACATTCCATTTTAGGAGGTTGTCTTGCTTTTGCCTCCATTGCACCTGTTTCTAATTTCATTTGCACCAAAGCAGGTGAAAATGATTCACAATCACTCGTGCTTCCTTAAAGGACAGATTGATGTCCTTGAAGTTTTACTGACTGGTTGTTTACTGTGACGATTCATTGTTCCCTGCTGACGTCAATTTTCTTAGGTAACATCTCCCTTCATAATATATAGATCTGCACACAGCTCATTAATTCATTCAGCCCCTCCTCATTCTGCAGTTTCTCCAACACACACAAGCAGAGATGGGAGGGGTGCGTGCATGGGGAGGAGTTTAACAACTTTGGACATGTGTCACCCAACGGAAACTGGTTGGGAAAGAAGTTGTGTCAGAATGGATAAGCAAAGAGTAAACTGTGTAAACTTGGTAAACCGCAGTTTGCATACACAACAGCACATATAGAACACTGCGTCATCTTTGTGTTTAAAACTTGATCAAATTATTGTTCGAATTTTATGTATAAAACTTAAACTACCTTTTTTATGCTCATGTAAAATTCTAATGGGGCTGGGAGTTTGGCTAATGAAGTTGATGCCCATTTTTTTGAGTGAGATTTCAGTCAACCCAGATTTTCAAAAGGAAACCGTTTGTTTACCTGTATGTCCATTGTTGGTGATGGATTTCAAGACATCCTGAGAGGAGAAGTTTTTGAAGGTAAAGTCCAGCAGGTTCGGGTCTCTTTGAACATGGCTGGTGTCTATATCAATAGGAGACTGCCTCTGTCCTCGACAGAAAGAAGAGATGTCTCCCCAGTGGGTCGGGCTGTGCGCTATGAAAGGTCGAGGTTTTCGCAATGTTAAGAACCAATGTAAACAAATGATTGATCCAAATCATTCAGTGAGTCGGAAATCTGTCCGTTCTTACCACAGCCAGTATAGCACCAGTCACTTCCAGCAGCTGAAAGAGAAATACAGCAAATATAAACTTTATTCATCTCATGAACCCAATGATTTTGTGACCATTTTATTACCTGACCTCGAGGTTTGGAACCACTGAACCATTTGTTTTTAAATTACTGCACTCACATTGTGGTATTTCTAAAAGAAAAGTGACATATGTCCCTGTGGGCATGGAGGGGGCTGGGAGAGCACCGCCACCATGTCCCTGATTTATAAAAGAAATAAATCCTGTTGGAACATTGAACTAGGGTTTCTAAAAAGGTGTGACATGAACTGGTTCCACAATTAAATGAGGACACAAGCTTGGAGATCAAATAAATCGTGAGATATATACATGAAAAAAGACAGTTGTTGAAAGTTACTTCAGTTGGTGACACACAAATGGATTAAGTTTGTTAAATTAAACTTATGTTAAAACAAGTAATATTTTTAATTTGACAAACTTAATTTGAGCACTACCAATTATTATAAAAGTATTTAGGTATTTTCCTTTCTTTGAAGTTATGCAAAATCAGGAAACAAAGGATAGAGCTCATTAACACATAATTTCCTGGAAATTGATGCATTTTACTCACCACATTCTATCAAAGCTCCCAAACTGAGCCACAGCACCAGTGAGGAGGGACACATCTGCATAAGGAATGAGGAAAATCATTTTTAATCAATATGAATCATGATCTGAAATCCCATTAAAACAACTGTGGCCCTGCGAGAGCATGAGAAATTACCTTGTGTGAGGCTACTTGGTTACAAATTCCATTATTTTAGCATATCATGTGGAAGTGATGTACCCCATATGGACAAAAACAGTTAAAGAATGATAAAAATTAAAGTGACATGTGTTAAACATCTGAAATCGTCTTACCTTATGTCTCTGAAATACTGTCAGTACATCAGTGAGGAGAAGAAAATGTGAAGACTTTTTCAAGTTAGTGCTTTAAGTAAGAGGCTGGAAGGGGGGGGGGGGGTGCACTGTTTATACAACACTAAACCAACATGACAGTAACATGACCACAGGCCTCGTTGGATGTTGTAAATAAAGGCGTTCAGAGCAAATTAGTGATCTTGTAAAATCTTGCAGTTTATTTGGTTAAATGACTCATTTTTATGTCTCAATTTTATATGACAACTCATATTTGAATTCTGTGTCACACTATAGAGAGGAATTGTCTCCATTAATGAACACCAAAGTCTGTATATAAAGATGGAGTCCACTTCCTCCCTCTATCCAGAAATGAAGCTAAAATATCCAGTGATGAGTGACGCCATGTTCCCCATTTGGAGCCTGAGCCCTGCTACAATAATCTATTTTGCGTAGAAGGATCCTGACCAAGAGAAATTACCTAGAATTATTTCAGCGAGCTTAATTGTAAGAGCTTTCAAATTCTCTAAATTAGCTTCAATTCATCCCAAGGACAAACTGGACCATTCTTTATGGTAATTTAAATTTACATCTTACAAAAAAAATTAACAAATCTTTGTGCAATTTGGCTTTTTAGTTTGGCCCATGCCCCATACACTAACATGGAGGGAGGTGGGACTTATATATATATATATATATATATATATATATATGACCTATACTGTGGCCAGCGACCAGGTGGCAAACACTTTGGCTTCACTTTAAGGGAGCAGTCATGTCATCCATCTTTACACAAAATCTAATGAACACCCATATTGGATTACAGCTACACATAGTACCATAAACCATTGATGAAATGGATATACGCAAAGTCGATTTAAGTCGGTTTAAGCAAAGAGTACAAATCTCTTTAAAAATACTCCATAAATTTCCTGCAAATAAATAAAATAGACTCAAATACACAAAAGCACATTCCAGATAAAAGTGTATATACCCTATAGAGATTTGCTCTGGAGACATTAGCTTTAACAGTGACACCAAACTTTTAATTTATGGGTGGCTCAGCAAACTGATACCAGAGTTCTCAAGCTTCTCTCTTACACCAGTCATTGCAGCGACATAGACGATTGTGAAATGCTGTGTCCTGGGACGGTGCCATTTGTGTCATGCTTTGAATTTCACAGACTCATTTCTGATCAGAAGGTAATAGAAATCATAGGAGAGAACATTGAAATGTTATCTGATTTTGCAACTCGTTTTCAGCCTGTACAAAAAAAAATAAAAAATTTAGCTCTTCTGGGTTTACTCATCTTGATATTGATATAGATTTTATAATGACAAAAGCAAGTTTACAATAAAAACATTGACACGAGTGAGAGTCACTTTCCCTGGAGGGGACACCGAATGTCTTTATCTGGTAATGTTTATTGTAAACACTTCAGAGGTCACTACATTGATTTCCTGGAGACTTAATCAAACCTTAACCATAGTTACTACTAACTTGTCTTCAGCTTAATATTCAATGATTTACACTCTGGGGAGTTACTATTTTTCCTAATAAGGAAAACAAGTCACCAAATGTCACAGTGGGAACAGATATAGATCCACAAAACATCAGTAACACACACACAATGCCACACCTCATTACTCCAAGCCTTCAGACACATAGCCCACGGTACAGCTCTTGAAATGGAGTGGTTTGTTTTTTCAATAAGAATCTGAAGTGCATGAAATGACTCAGACGACGTAACCAAAACAATCAAGGCTGAGGTCGCCTGGTATTCAGTGATCTTTAGGCTCAAAATGTGGTAGACTGGAAGTTGAATGTTCATATGTTTTACATTCATGTGCTTTATTTTATATCACTTAAACTATTTATATGTTTTAAATGCCATTCATATCACTTCCTTTACATGGGTATATTTCACTAATGTTATTCATCATTTTATTTTATCACCACCAGCTGCCATAGGTCAATTAACTTTGGTCTGATGAGTTGTGGAGAATCAGGCACTTACTTATTTACAGTTTTTCCATGGTAATGCAAACCTTGTTTCTGCACCGGACTGCGTCTGACCTGGGCACAACCTCCTAATTTTGCCAAGTCACTGAGAAACAAGGAAGAACTTTGCTTTTCTCTTGACTCAGCACAGAACCACACCTGAAAACCATCCAGAAGGAACGACCACCATCAGCATGTGATTGGCCGAGCAACTGACCTCATTCTTCACCAGCAGCACCTGATGCAAGTGTCAGCTTATGTGAATCGTGTGCATGGCTGTATTTAAAACACCTGTATTCCACAGTCTGAAACAAAATACACAACTTTATTCAAACAGCTGAGAAGATACATTTATAAAGGAGTTACAGTTATTGACATAATCATTGTGAATACATGCACAATAATAAAAACTACAAAGTGCACATAGCATTAAAAAAGCTAATTAGAAGCAAATTTGTGTCACACAATCTGTGCAGGTGATCGACATGTTATATTAGACAAAGTTTTATGGATAAGCAGAAATTTATTTTCAAGTGAGAGTCACAGCAGCATGAAATATAAGATTGTATCATAACATGTTGCAAAGTCAAATGACATATCCTGAGCGGTTTCATATTCTTTTATATTTACATTCATTTTCATCTATTTAGTGTGTCAATACAGACTCCCGCCACAAGACGGGCCCACAAATATTTCTTGCTCAGCTAAAGTTGTTTTACAATAACGCTCCTACAAAAAAAACATATGAATAAATCCTAGCCTTAGAAATACTGTATTTTGCATTGAAAATACACAAAATCAAGGGCATCAAATGAAATTCTACAAACAGACTCTTTGCAGCTTTTAGTAAAAATTGAAACGTGAGCCGTCAGATTCAGGGCGTGAAGCCAGGCGGCGCCAGTCCTAAACGACATACATCTTGTGACCACAGGAGGATGCTAAAGGGGCGAAGTCTCAAGGGTTGCTCAAAGAATATAGGAAAAGGTCCTGCAGGAATAAAGATCAGAGCAGAGTCAGAGTGTGTGCTGACCTGAGGCCTGTACCACGGATCAACTACAGCGTACAGTCGGCACCCGGTATAACCTATACAACAAATCAGGTTCTCAATGGTCCCAGTTGGGTGTGAGCATGTTTGTGTGAAAAGAGAAGGCGTTGATAGGAACGAGGAACACAATCAAAACCATTAATTAAGTCTTTAGTTTGGCAGGAGAGTGAATGCTGAGGCATGCAGGTATATTCAGTTGTAATGACAGACGAGTGACTTGTAAACATTTTCAACATCATATAATTAAATTAGAACAGACACTCTACAGTAATGAAATAAAATTACTAGTTGTTAGTCAGGTAATGAATGTGACAGGAATCGTTATTGAGTTTCCAGCTGTTCTCAACACAAGCTGCAGATTTTAGGAAAGTAGTGAAAGTAGACTGTGCCTGAGAAGAGAGGGAGTTGACGTGTGGTAAAACTGGTCCAACTGATTCAAATGTTGATTTATAGGGAGAGGAAAATCAATCCTGATCAACTACATCAGAGTAAAAGCACAGTTCTGTCAAAATCAATAATATATGTTCAGCCTTAGTTGCCATGGCGAATTATCTCGTTGCTAAGTGAACCTTGCTTGCGACAAATCCTGCTTCATAGCACAGGCCTCCGCTGCTGTTGTGTCCCTAAATGTGTGATGTGAGAGATGAGGAAACTCACTGAAAGAGGGACCCAGTCAGCTCATCCACAAGGCCGCCTGCAATACACACAAATATTAATACTTCAATAGAATACACGAACACTGGTACGTGCACTGTTTAAATAATAATACTACCTGGGGAGCAAATGGTGTCACACAGTATGGGGCAGAGGTAGCAGGACGAACATCCCTGCAGGACAAACAGTGTGAGCACACAAGGACGTCGTGGTCATGATGAAATGTGCAAGGTGTGTTTTTTCTAAGGAGCTAGGACCTTACCTGACAGTGCACGCAGTGATCTGACTCGTCTCCCTCCTCACATGGGCACTTATCACAGCTACTAGAGCAGTGCTAACAGGAGAAACACACACAAACAGTGCACAGTTGTGTTTATTACCCAGAATACCATTGGACCATTGAAGGCTCGTACTCCTTTCTCATCATTTTACCTGGCAGACGGAGCAAACGCTGCACCAAGAGCCAGAGCGGAAGTGCAGCATGTCAGAGAGGGCGTGTTCGTCACCATGGGTCTCTGCTGCGACGGCCTCATGCTCATCTGAAGTCAGCAATGTTAAAAACGTTTAATAACTTGTATCAGTGAGCACATATCGAATCAATAGCTAAAAGGAAACCGCAGTGCAAAAATGTGATGGAGATTCATGAAAATATCCCGCTCGGTACGTAGCAAGCAGGTTCCTAGTTCGAATCCCTGTGTGGAGTTTGCATGTTCTCCCCATGTCTGGGTGGGTTTCCTCTAACTTCCTCCCACAGTCCAACACATGCAGATTGAGGCTGGGTTAATTGACCATACGTGTGAATGTTAGTGTGAATCACCTGTTTGTTGCCCCTCAGCATATATAAGCGGTAAAGATGGGTCGACATGTTTATGTTTAAACTCCTAAATGTCAATATCTATTTCCGAGTCTATCTAAGTCTATTCTTGGCCTGCTTCATGTAAACCTTCAGCAGAGATCATGAGATCAAATTATTGGTGTCAGGTTGGTGGCGTGAGGTTATGTTAAATGTGAATCAGCTTAAATGTTGTACCCTAGTAAAGTGCGTAACACCGAGGACGAGGCACGTGTCAGATATAGTCAGAAAGACAAAATGTGCAGAACAGGACGGATTATAAAAACACATTTTTGTTTCTGGTGTTGTTCACATGTATCGTATAACAGTATGAACACTTTGTAGTGATCGACAAGGGTTTTTCCCCTTTTCTGTCCCAAAATAGCCATATTGGCCGAACAAAAGGAATGGGATACTGCCGGGTGCCATGCAGCTACCACATAGATAAGCCGAGCTATTTTAGGACCGATATGTGTCACACTGTTCTAACAGTAGCTTTAACAATGTCAGAGAAGAAACTCAAGTATGGGATGAATAACACGGCACATTCAGAAAGGGCTCTGAACGCCTGTGTTTAAAAGTTGGATGTCTGATATAAAAAGGTTTTGCATGATAAAAGATGAAGTTTCAAAACCGTGCATACATTTTTGACGGACTGCAAACATTATTTTGGATTTGAGTTTCTGAAGTACCTCACTGTTCTCCCTGTGCATGATGATCTGAAAACTGATGCACGTGGAAATGTTGAAACTTGAGTTTTGAAAGGTCGGATCTTTATTTTGAAACTTTGCAGACGTACTGCAGCCTGTTCCTCCAGTGCTGAGTTAACCACACACACACAGATTCATCCACTTGCAAGCTTGTGACTTTTTCCTGCACCTTTGATCTGACACACCCCCAACTTGATGATCAGGATCCTGGATGCAGGAACATTTGCTCCTAACCTATCATAGATCTGTTTTTATCAGATTTCAAGCTTTTCAAACATCAAGTTTCAACATTTCAAAACATTTTTTCTGTCATGATATTCATTCCAAACTTTAGAGTCAAACTCAAAGAAAAAAGTCAACTTGTCATATTTGATACTAATTTGTGCCTTGTTTTAGTTTCATTTTCCTGAAATATATTTAGGATCTGTTTAATAAATCGATATGTTAAAGAAGTGGATATACCATGATCGTCCTCTTCCTCCTCAGCATCATCACCCTCCTCTTCCGCAGCAACCTCCTCTCCTTCAGTTGCCTCCTCTTCCTTAGCATCTTCTTCTTCTTCTTCTTCATCATCCTCATCTGCAGCCTCCTCCTTCTCTTCTTCTTTTTCTGCATCATCCTCATCTGCAGCCTCTTCCTCCTCATCCTCCTCCTCTTCTTCATTGTCATCTTCTACCTCATCTGAAGCCTCTTCCTCTTCCTCCTCATCGTCCTTCTCCTCTTCTTCATCGTCATCCTCTACCTCATCTGAAGCCTCTTCCTCCTCATCGTCCTTCTCCTCTTCTTCATCGTCATCCTCTACCTCATCTGCAGCCTCTCCCTCCTCCTCATCATCCTCCTCCTCGGCTGCCGCCTCATCACCCTCCTCTTCTTCGGCATCATCATCCTCCTCCTCGTCTGATTCTTCTTCACCTCCCTCTTCTTCTACCGCTTCCTCTTCCTCAACAGCACCACCATCGCCCTCAGAGGTCTCGCCCTCCTCTGCCACAACCTCATCGTTTCTGGCTTGGAGGTCTGCTTCGGCCATGTTCTGGGCACTCACTACCCCAGAGAGTGGCAGCTGGGATGGGCACAGGAGCACCAGCATGAGTCCCAATACCCATGTCTTCACAGGTGCCATCTTGGAAGATTTACACAACTCTTAGAAGCTAAAAAAAATCCACTCAGGAGGAACGTCTCCAAAACTGGTTCTTCCACAAAAAAAACTAAACGACCGAAGGTTTGTCAGCTCTTAAAAAAACAAAAATCCACTGAAAACAAGAGAGAGCTGCAGACAGGAAATGATTTCAGATCTTTGCTCCACGCTGCAGAGAGAAGGGGTGAGGAGGGCCGTGCTCAAAGGAGTGACAGAGCGGTGCGTGCCAGTCTGGTGCCAGTGAACACAGAGGACACAGTGGAAACATACAGCTGGGTTTGTGGCGTATGGTTGTGTGGCTGCGTGAGTGACAGAGGCACATGTGTGGGAAGAATGCTCCTGAAGCCTTTAACACAGTGTATTGGAGAGGGGGGGGGCATATGGCATTTAGGGGTGAGGAGAGGGAGGAGTACATTTGTAATTGCTGACATCAAATGATGTAGTATAACAATTGTAGGCCCATACATATGTACATACAGTATATTGTACATGCAGTGGGGTCATGGGACAGTTTTCACATGTCCTCCATATGTCCACACTTGTTTGTGCATGACTTTTTATAATTTATTTCTTTTGTTTAATTTACAGATCTATTTCTTTTCATGAAGATTCATGAATTTTTCCCTGACAAAACTCTAAAAGAAAACTTGCAATGTTATAGAATGCAAAATCCTTCCACAGAAGTTGAATGGAAATCTGTTTTTGTGAAATCTTACTTATACAATATACAAACCAACGTACAAACAGACCTTGGCTGAGGTAAATACACTAGAATGGGTTTCAGTGGAGCTCACATGTCCTCAAGGGCACAAAAGTTGTTTTGTTAATGAATTCCTTCCTGGGAAATCAGTGAAAATTAAAATGTTAAAGAAAGGGATATAAACATTTCCTGAATTTGCATCTTTGTCTGGTTCCATGCAAAATGAAACTGGTTCTTTCTTGGCCCGCTTCACATCCTTCCACTAAATTTTAAGAAAATCGGTTCCCGTAGTTTTTGCATAATCCCACTGAAAGTCATTAAAACTGCAATGAAACATAACCTCCTTGGTGGGAGTAATAAAAAATCTAATTATTAATTCTCCAGTAATGAACCTCTATAGTAAAATCTGCATTCACACACCAACAATGACTTTTGCTGCATCAGCCAAATAAAAATCTTTGGAGGTCAAGAAGTTCATCCATACACCCCACTCCTCTGTAACTCAATCTACTGTAAAACCTGCTTGAAACTCTGGACTGCATGTGCCACACAGGTCTACTGCACATGTGGGTGCGGACCCATTCCAATGAAAGCATGCACTGAAGGTACATATCATATGATGAACAATTATGCAACCTGAGGGAGTGAAATCTTAAATAACAGCTTAAAAACCACCAGAGTCTCAACAGCGAGGGTGATATTTGCCTGTCAATCCCAAAGCTGAGGAAAGCCTGACAGCTTGATGTATGGAATGGATGCAAATAGAAGGAAATGGAGATGATGGGAGTCTGTGTCCCATGTGCCGTGTGTTAGAAGAACAGACGTGAGCAGCTGACATTCCACAGAAATTGCACTTTAATCATTTTACTCCAGGGTTGTGATTGAGACAAGGAGAAATTAGTTTTGCATGAAATGTGTGAAAGGAGGAGTGTTTACATTAAAGTCACTGAGATACAGAGTCATCGGGAGTGACACACGCATGATCACGTACATTGGAGCAAGTTTGCACATGGAGCCGTCATGCAACGAGAGAAGCGCAGGGGCAGAAAGTGATGACACCGCCTCTCTCTGTGTGTGTGAGGCGCTGGTGCGGCTGACAGGTGGCCCGGCTGGCTATTTACAGTAAAGGCTCTTTCAATAGCCCTGCTCCACTATGTGACCTTCAGTCGAGCTCTGGCGAACTGAAACTAAGCACCATGCTTATGGAACCATGTTCCACCATGTTTTAGTCACGTCGTGTTCAGTTTTAATGGATTTTATTGGTTTTATTGGATGAATTTTATTGGATTGGATTTTATTGGATTGGATTTTATTGGTTTTATTGGATTGGAGTCCACTTCACTTTGGGCCTTGCAAAGTCACGGCCTCATTAAGCCTTTGTTTGACATCTTTCTGACATCAGACCTCTATTGATCATTTCTTTCTTTCCTACATTGGGTTGAAAGAGCAGTTTGATAATGAAAGATGCATTCATTTGCTTTTTTGTGAAGTCTTTGGTAAATAAGTACCTGGAGGGAACAGCTGGATTAGCTCGGTTTTGTATAAAGTATGAAAATGAAGCTGCAGCTAAATGTAGCCTGAAGCTCACTAATAAACATGTTACATATATAATTGCTTAAGAATTCATTAAGTATACTGTGAATAAACTTTATTGAACAGGATCAAAAATGCAACAAAACAAAAACACCGGTCTAATAAACAGACAAATATGTCTTTTGAATTCTCGACAACCGCTCAACAAACAATGTCATTCATCCCCAATCAGATGAGCGGTTGTCAAGAAAATTGGAGGAAAGACAGAAAAGAAACACAATTTTGTTAGAAAGATTAAAATCAAGTATAGCTAAACACAAAAGTAATACAATGTGCCCCTGTAAACAGTATCATTAGTTTCACTGTTATGATAAAAAACTATATAAAAACCTTAAAAACAGAAAAAGCAATAAAGCTTTAACAGCAATGCCAAATTAAATACAAAAAATATATCCTACCACATTATAAATACATGCACCTGACTTTGGCATTAGAATGAGATGAATTGCACATTAAAAGGTCACATTTTCCATTAACTCGGTACTGTAACAGGAAGTCACGACATCTCTCTCTCTCTCTCTTTCTCGCTCTTTAAGAACCACTGAGGGTCTTTGCTAAATGAGTCCAGTGTTGAAGACGGCAGAAGAAAAGCAAGACTGGTCTTTCACCGTTGTCTTTTACTGACCATGTGAGCTGGCCGAAGAAGGGGACACATCTGTGCAGAGGAAGAAGCAAAATTATGCATCTTCAGGGAGGAAGTCAGCGAACACACACACGTGACATCACAACATGCAGAGAGCTGTGTGAAGGCATGCTCTGATTTTGGAAGTACCTCTTAGTGTAGGTGGAGGACGAGGAGGTTTAAACGTGCTGCCTTGAGCCAAAGTGTCCACGATCCAGCTGAGAGCGCTGGAGCAATACTCCATCTGAAATAACAAATTCACTGTGCATTAGAAAACTGTAAGGTGTCTAGTACTAGTGTCTTGAAACCTTGTTGAGGCCGATTTTCAGGTGGTGTACAGACATCCACTGAGAGATGTCAGACAGGCAGAGATCCGTGCTGCTACCGTCTTTTCTCAAGAAGATCAGTTTAATCCCAGTCTACCCTATTGTGTTCTTAGGCAGGATACTGAACCCTAAGTTGCTCCTGACAGCTGTGTCATTCTCAAAGAAAAGGTGCACCCCCTAGAGGCACTGTATGAATGGGCGAATGGCAAAAACTGTACTGAAAAGAGCTTTGAGTGGTCATCAAGACTAGAAACGTGCTATAGAAATACACAGCATTCTACAATACAGACCCTAACTAGAGATTTCAACAGGTGAATGTGCAGCAGCAGCAGCAGCGGTGCAGCCTCAGGGTCAGGCAGCAGCTGTTTGCTTGCTGCAGCTCAATTACTGCAGGTAATTTTTTCTGTTTGTTGTACATCCTTACAGTCATTGGCAGGATTTAAAGTTTAAAACAACACATGTGTTATTTAGCAAAAAATAAATGAGAGTTCCAGTGAAAGGGCCATTTTGGAAAATTAGCTTCCTGGCAAATCATGATATTGGCCCACTCTTATATCTGCCTGTTCATTATGAGGTGTATTCAAATGACAGCTACTCGGAGAGGGTCAGTAAAAAAGTCTATTAGTATTTAATTGTCCGAATACTCCCAATATATAGTTCAGAAACATTTTTTCCACAATACCGTCACTTCTTGTTGTTTTCTTTGAAAAAGGTGGAGGTAGAGGAGCTGAGAAAAAACACCCACGGCCTGCATTGATATTTGTGTTTGAGTCATTAACTTTCTGTTTATCTTACAGATCGTCTGTAATCTGTAAACATTCTGCATCATACAGCCGCCGGGCTCACGTTGTCACTCTCCCCTCAGTTTTTTTCCACCTTTAGGTCTAGACTGAAGAAATCTTTTATAGCGATTATGATGATGAATGGCAAAGAATAGTAAAATTTACCTCATTCTCCAGAGCCCTTAGCCTGTGGTCAATGTCTCTGGTTTCAGTCAGGTGTTTCAGGACGCCATCCACTCTGAAGAAGGAGACGATCAGCTCAGTAAAGAAATAAGAATTTCACTGTTAACATGTGGGAAGGTGCAAGAAGGTGCACTTACTTGACCGACATCCGTTTAAGCCTTTCGGAGTCGCTGCTTTTCTGGATCTTGGTCTGTGCCGTGAGGAAGTCCTCCTTCTGAATGGTTTCCCACGTCATCAGCCTGTTCGCCACTTTCCCTCGTAACTGCAACACTGAGAGAAAAAGATTCAGGTTTTTAATCAGATTTGTTCAGCTCACTTCAACCACAGTGAGGGAAGCTTGTATTTTTGGTTTCAATCAGCATTCAATGTGAAATAACTTTATTATATTAATCTTTAAAGGTCTATTGTGGAACTGACCAAAATGGTGGATCTTGATCGAGGGCACCTTGCGGATCGTCCTCTTGATAAACAGATTGATGTGAGAGATGATGATGAAGGGAGGCGCCAGCGAGGGACGGGAGTGGTACTGAACAATCAGGTTGTAGCGCTGGAATTTCCAGTAGATGTCGCTGTTCGCCTGCACCTCAGAGAAGGTGGAGCTGAGGGAACGCAAATAGAGTTGTTATGAGGGTTGCTCAGCCACGGACAGATTGATTGAAAGCAGTCTCCTCGTCCTTTTACCTGAACATGGCGATTAGAAGGTTGATAAGCAGGATGTTGGTGACGAGCAGGTAAACGACGAGTAGAATCACCACCAGCCAGTTACTGGACATCGTCCTGCATGGCTCAGCACCGCCCTGGATCAATGTCACATTGTCTGTGCAGGGCATGTCCCACTGCTTCCCAACTGGAACAGATAAACAAATACAGAGAATCTTAAAATAGGTAAAATAATTACAAAGTGGCAGTATTCTACCACTGGTTTGAAACCATTGCAACTTTTTTTTTTTTCTTTCTGCACACACAAACAGATTTACCGTCCATCTCTTCCACAGGGATCTGCCCAAAGATGTGCAGATACGGCCTGTAGAAAACCCGGCGGAAGATGCGGTCCAGGCGCGGGTCGTAGGAATACAGCAAAGCCTGGT